ATACACGCTTGAAATTCTGACTATGTTTCAGCGACGATAATTATTTACTTCATATTTTACCCATAGATTATTCAACGTACAGAAATTTTTATGCTTTATATTTGATTTTCATATCAAGAGACATTAATGATTAACGAAAACAGAAAACGCGCTCTGACTGGTACGTCACTTTACATTCAGGTTAAGACATAAAACAAAAGAGATGCTTGAACAAGTACCATTAATGTGCGCCTAACGAGCTAGCAAGTGTTACTCGCGCGCGCGCGCGCACACACACACACACACACACACACACACACACACACACACACACACACACACACACACACACACACACACACAAAGGAAAGAAAAAAGTATATATATATAAGCCTCATCGCCATATAATTCAGAGGCCAAGGCAATACTTTCTATTATTCATTTCGTCTGTTGATTTTCTTTCGTATGCTTATCCCTTAGTAATCAAATATTTCCATGCTCCATAATAAAAGAAGAAACTCAAACTCAATTGTTTACCACAGTTATCGTCTTCTTGTTTACTACCTAATGTGTAAATTTCATTCTAAAATCTATAGTACTTCCCTCGTTCATTCATTTTAATTTAATTTAAATCGTTCACCCACAAAGATTTGTTGATTACAGTTACATTCACGGGCGCGCCGCCCTTTTGGCTGCGGCCAGTGAGCAGCCGCCATTTCTCATGCTTGCCACCTACAGTAAAATGAGTGAAACAATATTTTTTTCTATTCTGAATAAGTAAAATTATTAAAACTCTTATTAAGTGTAGTAGATAACTATAATGTGTTTAGAATACAAAAGTCGACAATAGAACTTACGAAAGGCACAAATTGATTTCTATTTGATGTGAAAAAATATTTAGTTTCTAATTCCCCGGCCTCGGAGTATGTCACATACACACACTCACACATATTGTATATATTTATACATGTATGTGTGTGTGTGTCTATATCTATCTATCTATCTATCTATCTATCTATCTATCTATCTATCTATCTATATCTATATCTTATCTATCTATCTATCTATCTATTCTATCTATCTATCTTTCTATCTATCTATCTATTGTATTTGGTCGTGGTGGTTGTGATGGTGGTTGTGATGGTGGTAGTGTGGTTGGTCGGTAGTTGGTAGTGGTGGGTGGGTGGTAGTGTGTAGTGGTTGAGTGGTGGTAGTGTGTAGTGGTGGTATTGGTGGGTGGTATTATTGATTGTGGGGTGGTGGTGGTTGGGTTGGTGGTTGTAAGTGGTGGTTGTGGTGGTTGGTTGTGGTGGTGGTTGGTGGTGGTGGTTCGGTGGTGATTATGTGGTGGTTTTGTGGGTGGGTTGTGGAGGTGGCTGGTGGGCGGAGTGGTGGTGGTGAGAAAAAAGAAGATGGAGATGGAGGAGGAGAGGAGGAGGAGGGAGGAGGAGGAGGAGAGAGGAGGAGGAAGGAGGAGGAGAGGGTAGGAGGGAGGAGGAGGAGGAGAAGGAGGAGGTGTAGGAGGAGGAGAAGTGAGAGTTAAGGAGGAGGAGGTGTAGGAGAGGAGGTGTAGGGAGGAGGTAGGGAGGAGGAGAGAGGAGGAGGAGGGAGGAGGAGGAGGAGGAGGAGGAGGAGGAGGAGGAGGAGGAGGAGGAGTGAGGAGGCATAGGAGGAGGAGGAGGGGAGGGAGGAGGAGGAGGAGGAGGAGGAGGAGGAGGAGGAGGAGATGGAGGAGGAGGAGGAGGAGGAGGAATGGAGGAGATGGAGGAGATGGAGGAGGAGGAGGAGGAGGAGGAGAGGAGGAGGAGGAGGAGGAGGAGAGAGGGAAGAAGAAATAAAGAAAGAAAAGAGGATAGTAGAAGCAGAAAAATAATTCTAATAAAATATAAACAAAGAAATACCTCCTGTATTATCATCAACTTGTGCTATACATACCTCTGATCTCCTGTTCTTTACGACTCTGCTGCTGTTTTTGTCCTTTTATGCTCACAGACAGGTGGTTCTACGCTTATTCAGTCCTTCAATTTCTTGTCTGAGTTCAGTAACACGCCTTCGCTGAAATTTTCAAAAAATTATTTGACTGGAAAATGAAGTAGGAATGCATTAATAAATTGACTTTGTCATTACTTGCAATTATTCTTTACTAGAGAAGACATCAGCAATACTATTTCCAGATATCTTATTAAATCATCTAAAATCATTAACAAATAATAATGTCTTTAATTTACTTACAAGGCTATCTGCACAAGCATCAACTTTATTCTTAATGTTGTCATCAGGAATAGCTTCTAGGAGATGCTCAAACTCATCAGCATGCTTACGCTTCTGAATATGTAAAAGTCCTAAAAGGTCTCAAATAATAAAAAATAATTATCATTATCATTATCATCATCATAATACATCATGGCCATCATATCATTAATGACAATAATAATAATGATAATGATGATGAAGACAATGACAATGATAATGATGATGATAACAGCGAGGACACCAATGACAATGATAACATAACTATAACCAATTTCTAGAATGAAATCACTCAAGTTTCAACACAGAAGTCTAGACGTGTGATAAAGAGGGAGCAATCTGTGAAACTTAGATGAGCAGAATAAGGGTGAAGAATGCTCCTGTCCAAAATGAAATGACATCAATATCAGGATGAGCCATTGGATTTCATCTGAGAATAGAAAAAAATAGCAAGATGTCAATACCTAAAGCCAGAATTACACTAAGCTCACTTATGTTGGAACCATACTCAAGTTTGGGATTATGACACTTTTGGCACACTATCTGGAACTTGGGGAGCCAAACCTTGAGTCTGCATTGTCCAAATCTTACTCATTTTTTGTGGGTAACGATTATCAATAGGTTTTAAACATTTAAAAATTTTAAATGATTAATTTTTCGCAGTAGTCTGAGTAGTGGAACCCATGCTTAAAACAAAAATAATTTTAACTAGACAGTTACATATGCAAGGTTATGGGGAGTAGCATATACTTACAAAAAATTCAATTCTATTTTCCAACTCCTTCTTTTCCTTCATATGGATGTCATACTGAGATCGAGCATTTGCCTGACGGTTCATCTTTGCCACTACCCTTTTGATTTCATCAACTTCATGCTCTCCTTCTCGTTTGTTCTTTTTGGCTCTTTCTATCTCTGCAGTAAGCTGGACAATAACTACAAATCAAACACTGGATGTTTTGAGACATGTTTCCTATATCAACTTAATATCTAGGTCATACTGTGAAATTGTGACTTCATTTCTATAGTTCACGTCTATTTTTACAATACAAATTTTATATAAATAATCATAAAAGTATGTATATATACCGTTACTATCATTTCCATTAAGAAAAAGAATAAACACAAATATCAGTATTAAAAAAAAATAAAAATCACCTCACACTAACCTCAGTCATATTAACTTTTGACTCTTCCTTCGCAATCATATCCTCTACCTGGGTGAGCTCCACCTTTAGTGAGTCTAAATCCATGTCTGACAAATCACTCTCATTACGCATTAGTGCCTGCTTGAGCTGGCGGATCTTCTTGCCCGTTTCATCCAACTGCTTTCCTTTGGTCTTTATGTCATGGTCCAGGGCAGCTTCAGAGGTTCTGTATTTAATTTGTTTTAAAGTGGAATTTAGTTATAAGAAGACTAAAAGCTTATAATAGTCACATGATACATATAAACATTGAAAATGACATTACTTCTTGGACACTTTGAGTACCCAAAAGTTACTCTCAACACCATACAAATGTTTATCTTGCCCTATATTCATAATTAGGAAATCTTAACCCTTCTGCATTTAGCCATCTGATCTGAATTTTTGAGATGCATCCTCTCTACTACATTGATCAGGTCAATATGACAGATTAATTTAATTCTAATCCTTGTATTGTATTTAGAATTCCCAACAGAAAGCTCAGTTCAGGATCATGTTGAAGGAAAAAAACAGGCCCTTATCCTTGAAAAAAAGAAAGAAGAAAAGGAAAAGGCAGAAGGCGTTAAGCATTCCCTAATTATGAATATAGGCGGCAAGATAAACATTTGTATGGTGTTGAGAGTAACTTTTGGGTACTCAAAGTGTCCAAGAAGTTATCGTCATTTTCAATGTTTATATGTATCATGTGACTATATATATAAGCTTTTAGTCTTCTTATAACTAAATTCCACTTTAAAACAAATTAAATACAGAACCTCTGAAGCTGCCCTGCTGACCATGACATAAAGACCAAAGGAAAGCAGTTTGGATGAAACGGGCAAGAAGATCCGCCAGCTCAAGCAGGCACTAATGCGTAATGAGAGTGATTTGTCAGACATGGATTTAGACTCACTAAAGGTGGAAGCTCACCCAGGTAGAGGATATGATTGCGAAGGAAGAGTCAAAAGTTAATATGACTGAGGTTAAGTGTGAGGTATTTTATTTTTTATAGATATTTGTGTTTATTCTTTTTCTTAATGGAAATGATAGTAACGGTATATATATACATACATTTATGATATTTATATAAAATTTTGTATTGTAAAATAGACGTGAACTATAGAAATGGAAGTCACAATTTTCACAAGTATGAACCTAGAATATTAAGTTGATATAGGAAACATGTCTCAAAACATCCAGTGTTTGATTTGTAGTTATTGTCCAGCTTACTGCAGAGATAGAAAGAGCCAAAAAGACAAACGAGAAGGAGAGCATGAAGTTGATGAAATCAAAAGGGTAGTGGGCAAAGATGAACCGTCAGGCAAATGCTCGATTCTCAGTATGACATCCATATGAAGGAAAAGAAGAGTTGGAAAATAGAATTGAATTTTTGTAAGTATATGCTACTCCCCATAACCTTGCATATGTAACTGTCTAGTTAAAAATTATTTTTGTTTTAAGCATGGGTTCCACTACTCAGACTACTGCGAAAAATTAATCATTTAAAATTTTTAAATGTTTAAAACTATTGATAATCGTTACCCACAAAAATGAGTGAGTAATATTTGGACAATGCAGACTCAAGGTTTGGCTCCCCAAGTTCCACAGATAGTGTGCCAAAAGTGTCATAATCCCAAACTTGAGTATGGTTCCAACATAAGTGAGCTTAGTGTAATTCTGGCTTTAGGTATTGACATCTTGCTATTTTTCTATTCTCAGATGAAAATCCAATGGCTCATCCTGATATTGATGTCATTTCATTTTGGACAGGAGCATTCTTCACCCTTATTCTGCTCATCTAAGTTTCACAGATTGCTCCCTCTTTATCACACGTCTAGACTTCTGTGTTGAAACTTTAGTGATTTCATTCTAGAAATTGGTTATAGTTATGTTATCATTGTCATGCTGTTTCATCATCATTATCATTGTCATCATCATCATTATCATTATTATTATTGTCATTAATGATGGCCATGATGTATTATGATGATGATAATGATAATGATAATTATTATTTTTATTATTTGAGACCTTTTAGGACTTTTTACCATATTCAGGAAGCGTAAGCATGCTGATGAGTTTGAGCATCTCCTAGAAGCTATTCCTGATGACAACATTAAGAATAAAGTTGATGCTTGTGCAGATAGCCTTGTAAGTAAATTAAAGACATTATTATTTGTTAATGATTTTAGATGATTTGTATAAGATATCTGGAAATAGTATTGCTGATGTCTTCTCTAGTAAAGAATAATTGCAAGTAATGACAAAGTCAATTTATTAATGCATTCCTACTTCATTTTCCAGTCAAATAATTTTTTTGAAAATTTCAGCGAAGGCGTGTTACTGAACTCAGACAAGAAATTGAAGGACTGAATAAGCGTAGAACCCACCTGTCTGTGAGCATAAAAGGACAAAAACAGCAGCAGAGTCGTAAAGAACAGGAGATCAGAGGTATGTATAGCACAAGTTGATGATAATACAGGAGGTATTTCTTTGTTCTATTTTTATTAGAATTATTTTTCTGCTTCTACTATCCTCTTTTCTTTCTTTATTTCTTCTTCTCCTCCTCCTCCTCCTCCTCCTCCTCTCCCCTTCCTCCTCCTCCTCTCCTCCTCCTCCTCCTCCTCTCCTCCTCCTCCTCCTCCTCCATCTCCTCCTCCTCCTCCTCCTCCCCTCCCTCCTCCTCCTCCTCCTCCTCCTCCTCCTCCTCCTCCTCCTCCTATTCCTCCTCCTATTCCTCCTCCTATGCCTCTCCTGCCTCCTTCCTCCTCCTCCTCCTCCTCCTCCTCCTCCTCCTCCCCTCCTCCTCCTCCTCCTCCTCCCTCCTCCTCCTCCTCCTCCTCCTCCTCCTACACCTCCTCCTCCTCCTCCTCCTCCTCCTCCTCCTACACCTCCTCCTCCTACACCTCCTCCTCCTTCCTCCTCCTCCTCCTCCTCCTCCTCCTCCTCTCCTCCCTCCCCTCCTCCTCCTCCTCCTCCTCCTCCTCCTCCTCCTCCATCTCCATCTTCTTTTTCTCAACCACCACCACTGCCACCACCGACAGCCACCTCCACAACCACCACAATAACCACCAACATAATCACCACCACGACCACACCAAAACCACCACCACAACCACCACCACAACCACCACCACAACCACCACCACAACCACCACTACAACCACCACCACCACCACCACCACCATCAATAATACCACCACCAATACCACCACTACCACTACCACCACCACCATCACCACTACCACCACCACCATCACCACTACCACCACCACCACTACCACTACCACCACCACCACCACTACCACCATCACAACCACCATCACAACCACCACCCAATACAAATACCACTACTGCCACAACCACCACCACCAATACCACCACCACCAATACCACCACCACCAATACCACCACCACCACCACCACCACCACCACCACCACCACCACCACCAATACCACTAGCAACACCACCACCACTACTACCACCAACAATACTCCCAACAATACCACCACCGCTACTATCACCACTGCTACCATCACACCACCACCACACCACTACCACTACCAACACCACCACTACCACTACCAACACCACCACTACCACTACCAACCACCACCACTACCCACTACCAACACCACCACTACCAAACACCACCACTACCAACACCATCACTACCAACACCACTACAACACCACACTACCAACACCACACTACCAACACCACCACTACCAAACACCACCACTACCACCACTACCACACCACCACTACCAGTACCACCACCCCTACCACCACTACCACCACCCCTACCACCACTACCAGCACCACCACCCCTACCACCACCCCTATCAATACAAATACCACCACTGCCACAACCACCACCACCACCACCACCACCAATACCACCACCACCAATACCACCCACCACCAATACCACCACCACCAATACCACCACCACCAATACCACCACCACCAATACCACCACCAATACCACCACCAATACCACCACCACCATACCACCACCACCAATACCACCAACCAATACCAACCACCAATACCACTACCACCAATACCACACCACCAATACCACCACACCACCACCACCACCACCACTACTACCACCAACCAATACCACCACTGCTACTATCACACTGCTACCATCACCACCACCACCACTACCACTACCACACCACCACTACCACTACCACCACCACTACCACACCACCACTACCAACACCACCACTACCAACACCACCACTACCAACACCACCACTACCAACACCACTACCAACACACCAACTACCCACACCACACCACACCACCCACTACAACACCCACTACCAACACCACCACTACCAACACCACCACTACCCAACACCACACTACCAGCACACCACCCCTACCACCACTACCAGCACCACCACCCCTACCACCACCCCTACCACCACCCCTACCACCACCCACCACTACCACCACCTCCACCACTACCACCACCACTACCACCACCTAATTCTCCACCATCACCACTACCACCACCACCTCCTTTTCTCCTCCTGCACCACCACCTACACCATCACCTCTTCCTCTACCACTCCCTCCTCCTCGTCCTCCTCCTCCTTGTCCACCTCCACCACCACCATCACAACCTCCACCACCACCACTACCACCACCATCCACCTCCACCACCACCACTACCACCACCACCACTACCACCACCACTGCCACTTCCATCACCACCACCACCTCCTCTTCCTCCTACTCCTTCGCTTCCTCTTCCTCTTCCTTTTCTTTCTCCTCCACCTCTACAACCACAACCACCACTACCACTACCACTACCACTACCAGTACCACCACCACCACCACCACAACCAACACCAACAACACCACAACAACACAACCAACACCACAACCAACACCAACAACACCACAACCAACACCAACAACACCACAACCAACACCAACACCACCACAACCAACACCAACACCACCAAAACAACACCACCACTACCAACACCACCACTACACCACCACCACTTCCAACACCACCACCACTTCCACACCACCACCACTACCAACACCACCACCACACAACACCACCACCACTACCACACACAACCACCACCACTACCAACACCACCACCACCACCCTACCAACACCACAACCACTACCAACACCACCACCACTACCACCACCACCACCACACCACCACCACCACCCACACCACCACCACCACACCTACCACCACACCACACCACCACCACCACCACTACCACCACCACCACCACCACACCACCACCACCACCACCACCACCACCACCACCACACCACCACCACCACCACTACCAATACCACCACCACTACCACCACCACCACCACCACTGCCAACACTATCACCACTACCACCACCACCTACCACTACACCACCACCACACCACCACTACCACCACACCAACACCACCACCACTACCAAACAACCACCACCACTACCAACACCACCACCAACTACCAACACCACCACACACCACCCACCACTACCAACACCACCACCACTACCAACACCACCACCACTACCACCACTACCACCACACCACTACACACACTACCACCCACCACCACACCACCACACACCACCACTACCACCAACACCACTACACCACCACCAACACCACCACCACCACACACACCAACACCACTACCACACCACACCACCACTACCAACCACAACACACCACACCAACACCACCACTTACCAACACCAACATCACCACTACCAACACCAACACCACAGCAAACACCACCACTACCAACACCAACACCACCACTACCAACACCAAACACCACCACACCAACACCAACACCACCACTACCAACCAACACCACCACTACCAACACCAACACACTACCAAACACCAACACCATCACTACCAACACCAACACCACCACACCAACACCAACACCACCCACACCAACACCACCACCAACACTACCCACCACCACCACCACCACCACCACCACTACCACCACCACCACCACCACACCACCGCCACCACTACCACCCTCCACTACCACACACTACCACCACACCACTACCACCACCACTATACCACCACCACCACCACCACCACACCACCACCACCACACCCACCACCACCGACCACCACTACACCACCACCACTACCACCACTCACCACCACTACTACCACCACCACCACCACCACCACCACCACTACTACCACCACCACCACCACTTACTACCACCCACCCACCACTACTACCACCACCACCACCACTACTACCACACCACACCACCTACTACCACCACCACCCACCACCACACCACCACCACCACCACTACTAACCACCACCACCAACCACTACTACCACCACCACCACTTACTACCACCACCACCACCACCACCTACACCACCCACCACACAACTACACCACCACCACTACACCACCACCACTACTACTACACACCACTACACCACCACCACTACTACCACCACCACTACCACCACCACTACTACCACCACCCACCACCACACCACCACACCTACCACCCACCACTACCACCACCACCACTACCACCACCACCCACCACCACTAGCAACACCACCCACTACTACCACCAACAATACTCCCAACAATACTCCCAACAATTACTCCCAACAATACCACCACCGCTACTATGACCACTACTGCTACCCACCACTACCACTACCAACACCACCACTACCAACTCACCACTACCAACATCACTAACACCACCACTACCAACCACCACTACCAACACCACCACTACCACACCACCACACCAACACACCACACCAACACACCACTACCACCCACCACCACCCCTCCACCACTACCACCACCTCCACCCCAGCCCCACCACTACCACTACCTAATTCTCCTCCACCACCACCACTACCACCACCACCTCCTTTTTTTCTCCTGCCACCACCACCTACTCCATCACCTCTTTCTCTACCACCCCCTCCTCGTCCTCCTCCTCCTTGTCCACCTCTACCAAGCATCACCACCACCTCCTCCACCACAACCTCCACCACGACCACTACCACCACCACTGCCACCTCCATCACCACCACCACCACCTCTTCCTCCTACTCCTCCTTCTCTTCCTCTTCCTCTTCCTTTTCTTTCTCCTCCACCTCTGCCACCACTACCACCACCACCACAACCCACCACCACAACCAAACCACCACAACAACACCACCACAAACCAACACCAACACCAACACAACCAAACACCACCACAACCAACACCACACACCAACACCACCACAACCAACACCACCACAACCAACACCAACACCAACACCACCACCACACCACCACCACCACTACCACCACCACCACCACCACCACCACTACCACCACCACCACCACCACTACCACCACCACCACCACTACCACACCACCACCACTACCACCACCACTACCACCA